GGGTTAAAACTCTATGGTGGCCATTGAGTTTTCTGCCCAAATGCTAGAGCATCCCCTGCACAATGTGCCTGGTGTGATGACGTCACCTCAGTCTTGGCGACGTTCCTGGGTTCTTTTATAGAATCGTAGACTCTTAGAGTTGGAAGGGATTTCCAGGGTCATCTAGACCAACCCCCCGCACAATGCAGGAAATTCACAAATACCTCCCCCCCACACCCTCAGTGTGAGGGAGAGCCAGTTTAGTGTAGTGGTTAAGTGTGCGAACTCTAATCTGGGAGAACTGGGTTTGATTCCCCACTCCTCCACTTGCACCTGCTGGTGTGACCTTGGGTCAGTCACAAGCTCTGGCACAGCTGTCCTTGAAAAAAAGCAGTTTCTGTCAGAGCTCTCTCAGCCCCACCCACCTCACAGGGTGTCTGTTGTGGGGAGGGGAAGGGGAAGGAGTTTGTAAGCAACTCTGAGACTCCCAAGTGAAGGGCGGGGTGTAAATCCAATCTCTTCTTCTTCTAAATTATATCCCAGTTTTCCTGCTCGGCGTGCCGGCTTGAGGAGGTGTATATCTGGAAAGGGAACATTGGACAGTATAAATTAATTTGATAAAACAGTTTGGATGTACCTGGCTAGGTTTGGCAGTACAAAAGTGGCAATCGGCATTTCCCCGGGCGTGTAAGAAAGGCCCACAAGGAGAACTAAGCACTGAGTCAACCCTTCCTACCCTCCCTCTTGGGATCTGTTTAAGTTCACAGAATCAGTAGTGGTGCCAGACGGCCATCTAAGATAGACAGAGGGTGCGTTCAGACGGCTCTTTAGATCCGCGCGAAGCACAGGTACCTCATGGATTTAAACGTAATGTCCAGACATTAACATCTGGGAAATGTCCGTCTTCCGTGAGCATCCCGTTTTGCCGCGCCCCGGAGCCGTACTAAAAAGATACTACTTTAAATCTGGAGTTTTCGGTTCCAACGGGCCACTCGCGGACTTCCCCCCGTATGATCGTTCCAGCGCGCAATTAAAAATGGCGCCCGATCGGGATGGTCTGACATCAGACCATCCCGAACGGGCACCATTTTAAAAAAAATCTTGATTCTGCGCATGCACGGATAAACATGGCCGTGATATCATGGCTATGCGCATGCGCAAAAAGTTAAAAACAAAACAAAACACCGCACGTGCCTTCTTCAGTGGACGCCGTCTAGACGATCCACAGCGGAAGCAGCGCGCGGTAAGGCAATTCCCCCAGGGCATGTCTGGTCATGCGAGGATGGATTAAAAAGATCGGGATCAAATTTGAGCCGGCATAATGGTGGGATTGGAGCTGCGGTGGCTCAAGTGGTTAAGATGCTGAACTGCAGGCTGGAAGGTCAGTAGTTCAGCAGTTCATGACCCGAGTGTGCCGCATGACGGAGTGAGCTCCCGTCTCTAGTTCCAGCTCCTGCCAACCTAGCAGTTCGAAAGCAAGAAATTGCAAGTAGATAAATAGGTGCCACTTCGGTGGGAAGGGAACAGCGTTCCGTGCGCCTCAGTGTTTAGTCATGCCAGCCACATGACCACGGAAACGTCTTCGGACAGCGCTGGCTCTTCGGCTTTGAAACGGAGATGAGCACCACAACCCTGGAGTCGGACTCGACTGCCTTTCGAGCAAGGGAACCTTGACCTTTACCTTAATGGTGGGATTAGCTGTACGTCTGAACGCACCCTAAGGAAATCCATCATCCGATCCATCACTGACCCCAACCCTAAACAGACTAAAGGAATCTCTCATCCCACACCTGGGTCAGGACATCAGACCCTGAAATACACCCTCCAGCAGGGCTTTTTTTTGTAGAAAAAGCCCAGCAGGAACTCATTAGCATAATAGGCCACACCCAGCAGCACAGCTCATTAGCACATTAGGCCACACCCCCATGTTACCAGAAGTGTGGTCATCCAGCCACACCCACCTTTCCCTTCTTATTCTGTTTACCTTGTTTGTTGTCCAAACCCAGGGCCTTTTTTTGTAGCGGGAACTCCTTTGCATGTTAGGCCACACACCCCTAAAGTAGCCAATCCTAATGAGTTCCTGCTGTTGGGTGTGGCCTATTATGCTAATGAGTTCCTGCTGGGCGTGGCCAACTCGGGAGCCAGCCGGAACTCCGTTCCTGTGCGTACCTGCCCAGAAATAGCCCTGCCTTCCAGCAATTTCAGGCAGATGATAAACAGCTTGGGCATGAGGATCAACCCTTGCAGTAGCCAGCAGACATCATCCCCCTGCACTGGTTAGAGCGCCAGGAGAATCAACAGTCCCACGTTCCTCCACCGGCCTCCCAGCACAGCTTGGGTGGGGGTTATCGTAACCCCCCCCCAAAATGAAACCAAACACATGAAGGCCTTCTTAAACCAGATGCACACGGCATTCACTCCCAAGTCACAGGTGGCACACGATTTAATGACGGTTGTCACAGAGCACAGGAAACTGCCTTCTACTGAATCAGACCCTGGGTCCATCAAGGTCAGCATTGCCTACTCTGACTGGCAGCCGCTCTCCGGGGTCTCAGGCGGAGGTCTTTCTCATCACCCGTCGCCTGGTCCTTTTTAACTGGAGACGCCAGGGATTGAAGCTGGGACCTTCTGCATGCCAAGCAGATGCCCTGAGAGCCAGTTTGGCGTCGTGGTTAAGTGCGCGGACTCTAATCTGGGAGAACCGGGTTTGATTCCCCACTCCTCCATATGCAGCTGCTGGTGTGACCTTGGGACAGTCACAAGTTTTCTCAGAGCTGCTCTCTCAGGGGCAGTTCTGGAACAGACCTCTCTCATCGCCGCCTGCCTCACAGCGTGTCAGTTGTGGGGAGGGGAAGGAGTTTGTAAGCCGCTCTGAGACTCCCTTGAGTAGTGAAGGGCAGGGTATAAAGCCAATCGCCTCCTCCTCCTCCTCCTCCTCCCCCCCCTCCTCCTTCTTCTCCTCCTCCTCCTCTGCCAGTGAGCCACACTAGTTGGAACACGACGCACAACTGGCCCACTGTACATGGCCCGGAAATTGGGGTGCAACAAGCCACACAATCCCGATTTGGATCAGTGAGACAGGGACCGATGGGCCCCGGGTCACGCAAGGTCAGCAGGAGAAAATCAACAACCACAAAGTGGCACACAGAGAGCTCTTACGGCTGGTGGGTGGGGGAGGCAGGCAAAGGGAATATTCTCTCTGCTGTCAACTCATCTGTCCCAGCGACCACAGAATGTGTCATCATCAGATCGGAGATTAAAACCAGGCCTTTCGGCTTCCCGGCATCAGATGACAAGCAGGTGTTTAAAAATAAAAATGACTGCGGGATGAGCTGGAAGAGAAAACTCTGACTCAGCCCCCCGGTGTGCCGGAGCCAGGTTTGTGCAGGGGTTTGTCATACCCCCCAAGAGCAGAGACGGGCAGAAAACCTGCACAGGACATAGAAAGTGAGGCACACACTGGAGGTCTTTCGCCGCATGCCACCCAGGATGGAGAAGATCTGTGAAGGGCCCGGCCTGTCGCCTCCGACCCCTACTCATGAGCTCCCCAAAGGTTATCTCCCAACTGACCGGCCATTGTTCACAAAAGGACGGTCTACGTGGATTTCCTCTCTCTTCTACAGCGAAGAAGAAGAAGGGTAGGAGGAGGAGGAGACTGGATTTATACCCTGCCCTTCACTCAGAGTCTCAGAATGGCTTACAAACTCCTTTCCCCTCCCCTCCCCACAACAGACACCCTGTGAGGTAGGTGGGGATGAGAGAGCTCTTTCAAGGACTGCTTGTGAGAGAACAGCTCTGAGAGAACTTGTGACTGACCCAAGGTCACCCAGCAGCTGCAAGTGAAGGACTGGGGAATCAAACCCGGTTCTCCCAGATTAGAGTCCGCGCACTTAACCACTACACCAAACTGGCTCTCACCAAAGCAAAGGCACCTTGGGAATCGGTGGAAAGCAAGAGAAGTACCCAGGTCTTATAGACAAGAAGGTCTAAGTTCTTATTAAAGGGGAATTAGATTCATGGAGGATAAGTCTATCAGTGGCTACTAGCCACGGTGACTGAGGGGCACCTCCATGTTCAGAGGCACTAAGCCTCTGAATCCCGGAGCCAGGAGGCAACACCAGGGGAAGGCCTCGGCCTCTCTGCCCTGTTGTTGGCCCTCCAGAGGACGTGGCTGGCCCCTGTGTGAGGCAGGAGGCTGGACTAGGTGGACCCTCCCTGGTCTGACCCAGCAGGGCTCTTCCAATGTTCTTATCAGGGGAAGGCCTCAGCCTCTCTGCCCTGTTGTTCGCCCTCCAGAGGAACCGGCTGGCCCCTGTGTGAGGCAGGAGGCTAGACTAGATGGACCCTCACTGGTCTGATCCAGCAGGGCTCTTCTGATGTTCTTAAGGTCAAGAACATGAAGACATGAAGTTGAATCAGAGTGTTGGTCCATCACAGTAAAAGTCAATACTGAGTCGCACCGTCAGTCCATTAAAGTCAGTAATGAATTGGACCATTGGTCGATCAAAGCCAGTACGGAATCAGATTAATCGGTCCATCAAAGTCAGCCATGAATGAGATCAAGATGGGTGGCCGTGTTAGTCTGTCTGTAGCAGTAGAAAAGAGCCAGAGTCCAGGAGCACCTTAAAGACTAACCAAATTGGTGGCAGAGGAGGAGCTTTCGTGAGTCACGGCTCACTCCTTCAGATAATGGATCAGGTGAGTCTTGTCTACTCAGACTGGCAGCAGCTCTCCAGGGTCTCAGGCAGACGTCTTTCCCATCACCTGCTGCCTGGTCCTTTTGACTGGAGATGCCAGGGATTGAACCTGGGACCTCCTGCATGCCAAGCAGAGGCTCTTCCACTGAGCCACGGCCCCTCTTTACAGCTCTCCAGGGTCTCAGGCAGAGATCTTTCCCATCACCTCCTGCCTGGTCCTTTCAACTGGAGAGGCCGGGG